TTGATTTATTGTAGAGACAAGGTCTCGCCAAGTTGCCTTGGACTCAGGCAATCCACTTGCCTCGACTTCCTAAAGTGCTGGGATTACAGGCTGAGCCACTGAGCCCGGCCAGCCCTTTGTTTTAAGCTCTGTACAAAATAGTACTTAACTACAATATTGTTTTTTGTGGACATCAAGATAAAATTGTGGTTTAAAATTCTTATTTTCCTTTATAGCTCTCAAGAATGTCAAAGAGACGTTTATATTTATCAAAAATTTGAAGACCAGGTGCTGTGGCTCACACCTGTAATTCCAGCATTTTGAGAGGCCAAGGTGAGAGGATTGCTTGAGCCCAGGAGTTTGAGATCAGCCTGGGCAACATAGCCAGACCTCATCTCTGAAAAAAAAAACGTTAGCCAGGTGTGGTGGCAGGCGCCTGTAGTCCAGCTACTCAGGAGACTAAGGCAGGAGGATCAACTAAGGCCAGGAGGTCGAGGCTGCGGTGAGCTGTGATTGTACCACTGCACTCCAGCCTGGGCAACAGAGTGAGACCCCAACTCAAAACAAAACAAAACACACTTCTTGAGGCGGTGGTCCCTGTTACACATGGGTACCCTTTTTCTTATCTTGTTAAGACCTAAGATCAGCAGTGCTCTGGGTAGCTGCTGATTTGATCAATAGTGTGTGTATTTCCTGAAAAGCTGTACATTTGATTGACAGACAAGGCTTGACCATGGTACAATACACAATGCAGATACTGAGAAGTGGTAGATTCAAACTATATTTGGAGGTAGAGATGGCTTGGAAGTGTAGGTCCCTCAACACCTGCAGTGGAGGCTGAGAATGCAGTATCTGATATTTGCAACCCTGCCAGAAAGGAAACAGGTAAGAGCAGGGAGGTTGTTGGAGGCAACAGTCTGCCACTGGTGAAAACAAAGTCAAAATTGTCCAAACACCACTTCCCTTGGTTCTTGCACACAGCAAGCCTTGCTTGGGAGCCCTGTTGCACTTAAGAGGCAACTGTTTCAACTCACCTGAACTTTTGTCACATCTGAGGACACCCTCATCTGGAAACATGGGGTGAGGAGAATACTGCTAATTAAAAATGATGCCCAAGACATACGCCATCAATATCGCCCTTCTCTGCCCCTTTTCAACCAAGGTCCCACCAAAAGGGAAAGTTTGTAATATAAGCCTTTTTTCTTTGTTTACCTTCAGCAACCTGTCCAAAAATAGCATTAAGAGGCAGAAACAAAACATCTAGATAATTCACAATTTGTTTTTATTTTTTAATATTTATTTATTTATTTATTTATTTTTTGAGTTGGAGTCTCACTCTGTCACCCAGACTGGAATGCAGTGGCCGCTCCTGGCCACCGCAGCCTCGAACTGCTGGGCTCCGACGATCCTTCCGCCTCAGCCTTCCAAGTAGCTGGAACTACAGGAGTGCGCTACCATGCCCGGCTAATTTTTTGATTTATTGTAGAGATGAGGTCTCACCAAGTTGCCCAGGCGGGTCACGAACCCACGGGCTCAGGCAATCCACTCACCTCAGCCTCCCAAAGGCACAGGATTACAGGCTGAGCCACCGAGCCCAGCTCACAAGTTGTTTTTAAAATCCTGAATAAGTAAACTAAAAATCTGAAAGCACACTGTCAATACACAGTACTTCGTAGTAATATATGTACTAAATAAGATATATATAATATATAACATAAATATCCTATTTATCGCCCAAATTCTAAGCTGGTTTAATTAACTTTTCTCTCCCATTCTTTTTCTTTTTTGAGTTGTAGTCTCACTCTGTTGCCCAGACTGGAGTGCAGTGGCCGCTCCCGGCCACCACAGCCTCGGCCTGCTGGGCTCTGGTGATCCCTCCGCCTCAGCCTTCCAGGTAACCAGAACTACAGGTGCGCACTACCACGCTGGGCTAATTTTTTATTTATTGTAGAGAAGAGGTCTCGCTAAGTTGCCCAGGTAGGTCTCGAATTTTCTCTCCCACTCTAAGTGCTTCAGAAATTAGTTTGTGAAAGCATGATTAACCTCTTGCCATTTTATTTGTGAAATACTTTCCCATTCCCACACCATAATAGTTTCTCCAGAATTATCCAAAAATTTAAGGCAGATGCATGACTAATGACAAGATTTTACTGCTACCCGGACATTGTTGCCTTATCTTAAATATGGAACCCTGAGAAGACATAACCTATAAAAGAAATCTTAGTAGAGTACACTGGGCCATGTACCGGGCCTCAAGCGGGTGTCCTCTGAGGGGACCCTTTGTTCTGTGGGAGGAAACAACCAATTAATTGGGGTAAAAAGAGCCCTCCTCCCCCATGGGAATGCCTTCTGGAGACTTCATGGCCATTTTTGACTCCCCCCTCCCCTTGGCAATGCTTCTATTTACTGGTTGAGACTCATTTTCTCACCTTCCTTGAACTAAGTGGCTCGGTATGAACTGAGCACCGCCTGTGTGATACACTGGTGTCAGAGGGTTCCCCAACATTTCACTCTGGGATTCCTCTTCTAGAGAGAAGTCTGCATACCAAATGTATCAGAGCACAGTTTCTATTGTGTCGGTTGTTTTGTTTTGTTTGAGTTGGAGACTCACTCTGTCGCCCAGGCTGGAGTGCAGTGGCATGATCCTGGGCTCAGGCAGCCCTCTTGCCTCTGCCTCTCAAAGTACTGGGATTACAGGTGTGAGCCACCGCACCTGGCTCTCACATTTTTACTGCATCTGGAATACAAGTTATTTCTGTTCCGTGATTACTAGGGCATAGATTGTTTTCAACTCTGAAAATATATAAAACAAAGATTTGCTTAGAGTTGGTGTACCATAGTGCTTAGGGCATGAGCTCTTTGTCAGAGAATGTAGATTCAAATCCTACGTAACATAGTAAGTGGTCAATAAAAGTTGACTGTTATTTACACTAAAAGCCAAATTATTAGGGTCTACAATTTACATGATCTGTTCCCTAGGTACCTCTCAAACCTCACCCTGCCCCACTCTCCCTAACTGATCACAGCTCACCTTGCCTCCACAGTTTCTTGAATATTCCAAGTGTATTTGCCTCGGGGTCCTTACACTTGTTTTTCTCCCAGTATGGAATGGTTTTCCCAGATCTTTTGTAACTGGCTCCTTCATCATTCAGGTTTTGGGGTCAATGTCATTTCGGAAGATGCATCCCCTAATTAAGCTATCCAAAACAGGTCTCGTCCCCACCCGAAAACATCAGTTTCATTTCTTTTATGGCAGTCATCACTACTTTACTTGATGTAATCTCCCTCACTTAGGTGTTAACTCCATAATGATAGGTAGTTTCTTGTTCACTGTTATCCCAGAGCTTAGAATAACTAGTACACTGAAGGCACTTGATGTTTGTCAAAAAAAAAAAGAAAAAACCCATCATATTCAAACGCTACCTAAATGTAAAATCCTGGCCACAATCCCCAGAGAAAACAGAATTTCAAATACTAACATAGTTCTGTGTTATATACTGGCTGTCATATTTTTAACAGCCCATCTTTGGAAAAATCTTTCACTAGTTGGGAAAACCTCACATCATGGCTTCTACCTCTCTTCTGTAGATGTCAAAATTCAAATTACCAGCCTCTTACAGCTAGGACGTACGTGACCAGGCTCTGCCTCCCAGGCACCTTCATAAGGCGGATTCAGAAAAGGACAATGTAAAGTGACTCTGCATCTTGCCACATGGACTGTGACTGAAGTGTTGGACTTTCTGGGTCAGCAAGGGAGCCAGGTAAGGTGAGATTGGTGACACGGTAGTGGCAGTTTCCTCTAGTACTTGACGGGAAGCACAGCATAGACAGTGTTCCCATGAGGCCAGTTCTGTGCATAATTTTAGATATCACTCCTGGAAGTATAACCTTGAGTCTGTCCCCAAATTCTCACACGACCTACTATCACTTGTATAAACCTTCCCCACTTAATCAGCCAGAGTCAGCTTCTGTTGCCTGGCCCCAGTGACAACCAAGTTTGCAAGAACCACAGCTGCCTTATTTTAGGACACCAGTCTTTACAACATGAAATAGCTCCTGTGTCTATCTACTTCATCGTTTGCCGATATGTATTCAAATCAGTTTTCCCTGGAATAAGAAGTTGAAAGACACAGGCCAGCTGTCTTTGTTCTCCACTCCAAGTCTCAGTCAACTACTTCCGTAACTCTGGGAGAAGCAGTCCTGAGAGAACTGCTCCATCTTTATAAGAGAGGGGAACAACATATTTTTAAGTGTACCTGTTCAAAGAATGAGTTACAGTGTTTCACCATTACTATCCAAATTTTGAATTTGATTGTTAAGAAATGCCACTCTTTTATAATAAAACAAGAGTCTTTATCAGTGATTGCAAACTGGTGAGTAAATCTGGGTTGCAGGTTTTGTCTGACCCATGATGCTTTTAAACTTTTAAATAAATTTGTTTCCAGAGATACAAAGACATCAGTAATATCTATGATTTCTGCTTCTGTAAACAAACAAACAAACAAACAAAAAAAAACCCCTGATTAAGGGGTTGCATGCAGCAAGCAGTTGGAGAGCAGAGGCCCCCCCCCCACAGGTCATCAAGTCTTTAACTGGCCACTGAAAGACACATACCACATTTTTACTTATACTTTTGTTGTCTATATTGGAAGTTTGGGAGACTACCACTTCATGAAAATGTTGTTTAACAACGTAAACAAATATAAAAACACATTTTATACTGCTATAAAATACTGGAATAAAAAGATTAACTCAAAATAGGAAAAGTAAATTAAAGGGGACGGGGCAAAAGGCTGAAACGTGGACTCGAAGATCTGAAGCCAGTCAAACCACAGTACACAGTTTAGAAATTGTTATGTGTATGCGACATAAGGTGGACTTTGAAGCTAACTTTAAGAAAATGTTAGCAATTTATAAGAGCAACAGATTACAAAGGTGCTTTCTTGTATTTTGCTAAACTTTGAAAATTTCACTTTGATACTAATTCAAAATGTTAAATAGAATGACCACTTCCCGGTTAATTAAATCAATTTACATATTAAGCATTTATTTCTGTAGGATATACTTTGTATTTGAGACAGAAATAAGTTTTAGTTAACTTAACTAAACAATAAACTGGCCCTAAGTACATGATCTGTGATCAACTTGGTAAGACTAAGTTCACTACATCTTAATTCCAGGTATAAGATAAATGATTTAGAGAGCTTTTCGACTGGAGGTGAATAAAAGTAGGACAGGTAAATCATCTGCAGTTTAAAATACAAAATAAAATACAAAATATTGTCACATTACATCTCACATGTTTAAGACACCCTTGAAGTAAAAACACTTGACAGTTCTCAAAAATAGTATAATCCTTTAGTAAGCAAGTCATTCAATACATTACAATAAAAAAAACTTCTAAAAAAAAAAAGAGTTCATGCATTCACAGATATTGTGGAATCCAAGGTTCCTCTCTATAGAACTGAGGAAATGCAAATAAGTATACCTTTGAGGTATTATGGCAATCCACATCTTTCTCATCAGATTGTGTCAGTCACGTCAGTACTGCGGAAATGTTCCATCGATTTTGGCAGCCCAGGCCATGAGGCCCCCCACAACATCCCGAACTGTTACAGGGTCTAACACTTGGGCTGCTGTTAAGCACTGTAGGATCTTCACGGCTTTCTGGGAGTCATTTCCCAGTTTGCAAATCACATAAATGGAGTCAGCAGCTCCCTCTTGCGCATCTCGTTTCCCTTCCCGGATTGCTTCTCCTAACAGTTTCAGGCTCTCTGGATCTCTCCGTTCCAACTGTTTCAAAGGGATGTGCAGGGCATGAGGCAAACGACAGATGTCCACCTCCACTTGAGGCCTGACGTCCAGCAACAGATGAGGTGCCCCAGAATCCAAAAGTCGCTTATAGTAGGTGACAGAAACCCGCTCTGCAGGGCTCAGTAACTGCAGGGAGCGGCATTTATCGGTGGCTGAGGAGCCACAGAAGGCTTCATAGTCCTGCAGGTCAGTCACTGTGGGCCGCTCCCCACAAGCTGCACAGTCAGGCTTGCGGCTCCGCAGCTGAATACAACGGAAATGCCCTCTGAGAGCATCAAAGAGCAACAGGCTGCCACTGTAAGAGGGACCCATACCAGCAGCGATTTTCAGCACTTCCAGTGCCTGCAGGCAGCCCAGAACGCCTGTTACGACACCGAGCACCCCGCCATCCGCGCAGTTGGTCACTGTCTCCGCTGGGGGTGGCTGGGGGAATACGCAGCGATAGCAAGGCCCGCCGTCGTAGTGGTAGACTGTGATTTGGCCTTCGAAGCGCAAGGCGCTGGCAGACACTAGGGGCCGGCCGGCCAGCACGCATGCGTCGTTAACCAGGTAGCGAGTGGGGACGTTGTCGGAGCAGTCGGCCACCACATCATAGCGGCGGACTAGGTCTAGAGCCGTGGCCGGCGTAAGGGCCTGGGCGTAGGGCACGCATTCCACCGCCGAATTGAGGCGGCGCAGCGAGGCGGCGGCGGAAAAAGCCTTGGCCTGGCCGGCCAGTGCCTCGCCATGCAGCACCTGGCGGGCCAGATTGCTCATCTCCACCACGTCATAGTCCACAAGGCCGAGGCGGCCCACGCCAGCCGCTGCTAGGTACTGCGCCAGGGGACAGCCGAGCCCACCGCAGCCCACGATTAGCACGGACGCGGTTGCCAGGCGCAGCTGTCCGTGCACGCCCAGCTCAGGCAGCACTAACTGCCGGCTATAGCGCAGAATCTCATCTCGGGACAGCGCGGCCTTCGAAGGCAGCGGCGACACCTGAACTGGCCGTTCTGGCGTTGGTTCTTGTTCTTCCAAAAGGGCTGCCGCCAGCCTCTGCTTCAGGGAACTCAGCTCTTCCTCGCGCCGGGCAACTTCAGCCTGCAAAGCGAGCACCTCCTGCCTGGCAGCCATAGCGAACGCTTCCGGAAGTGTTTAATACATTTCCGTTTCCGGCTTCTGTCTCCTAGCGACGGGGACAAACTAAAAAACTTCATGGAGTTGGGAAGTGGTGACGAATAAATGTATACTCCTTGAGAAAACATTCAGATTAAATTTTAAACGTGCATAAATCCTGAATATTTTCAATGAAACCATTCAGAGGCCCTAGAAGGACTAGATTCAATCGCACAGTTTGTCCCTCCTTCCCAAATTTGGTACGGTCCGACCCGCCCTTTTACCGCGCCGCATTACGTAATTCCGTTTCCGGCGTCTCGGACAGTTCCGCCATGGCCTCCTTGGAACTGAGTCGTAGTCCTCTTAGGTCTCGGCGGGAGCCGGAGGTGTGCAGCGCGGGACAGGACAAGTATTCGGTGCTTTTGCCCACCTACAACGAGCGCGAGAATCTGCCGCTTATCGTGTGGCTGCTGGTGAAAAGCTTCTCCGAGAGGTAGCGCCCTAGGCCGCCGTCCCCGAGCCTGAGATGAGCTGGCTTCCCCCGCCTGGGTGTCGGCAGTTGGCTGCGCAAGGCGGCCCTGCCTCGCCTTTCTGGAACGCACGCAGGAGGGTTCAGGGAGGAAATCACCCTCCAAAGAAAGCAGAAGCCGGTATTTCTCGGGTTCTCTCCGTGTCTTGCGTCCTCATCCCTGCCCTTGGGATCTGTGAGATGCCCATTTATCTTTATTATAAGCTCCTTCAGTCTCCCCCATCTCGCCTTTTCTTAGAAAAGCTGGCCACTCTTTTACTTGGGGTGAGGCTTTTGAAAACCTGATCTTCCTCCTCGCTTTAGGCGTTCACGTTCTGCAAGAGCCGGGAGTGTAAGCGGGCGCGCGCACTCCCCAGCCCGATGCCGAGGGCTTACATAAGCATGAGGTTTGGGCTGTGTGGGTTGGGAGCTCCTGCTGGGCACGATAACCTTCCTGAAAAAGAGACAGCAGAAGGGTATCATCGCTGATCACTGATGGGTGTTTGGAGTGGTTGTTAGAAACTAGGGGAGGGGGAGTTTGGAATTTGAATTTGGAAGTGTTACGCAGTTGATTTTTTATTTTTAACTTAAGAAAATCCTGGAATCAGTACAAAGTAGTTTGTTTCACGGTTGTACAAATGAGATCTTGCTGTGAAATCTTTGGAGGTCTTTTCATATCAACACATAGAAACATAGAAAATTACTTTGAAAGGTAACATTCCATATGGTTGTGTTATCATTTAATGAATCAGGTCTTGTCAGTGAACGTATTCGTTCCAGAGTCAGCTGTTTTTGTTTTGGGTTTTGTTGTTGTTGTTGTTTTGTTTGGCTTACTTTGCAAGTGAGAACAGAGACTTTGTTCACACAATATTTTCTGGCATTTAGAAAATTACTTGACACATAATGTTCCTTTAAGTGAATGTTGCAGCAACCACACTCATACTTTTACTAGTGTACCAGGGATAAAGTCTTCAGGGTGGAATTTCTGGGTCGATAGAGAATGCATTTTAAATGGACAGTTATTGCCAAATTGCTCTGAAAAAAGCTTGTACCAGTTTAGGACTCATCAGTCTTCTGAGAGTGCTTGTTTCCTCACCAACCAGCCAACCTGAGAATTATTAAACTTGACGTTGTAAATACTAATTTTTAAAAATCATTGCTGTTTTGATTGTATTTCTTTGAATAACTATCTTCACATACATAGCTCCTCAGAGTTTTAAAGTTAATCTTTTCTCCATTTATTTAATTTCTGTGAGCTCTCCAAATTATAGAAATTAGCCATCATGTAGCCAGTCTTTTTCAGGTTTGAATTCTAATTTTACTGTATTTTTTGTTGCATTATTTAATGTTTTTCTATAATCTAGTTTATCTTTTAATGGGTCTTTTAAATTCAAGATGAAGTTTATTAAAGGAAACAAATCTATTTTCTGATGCAAATAACATGAAGTCAACTCAGCTTGAGTCTTTTCAGCTGCCTCATGGTTAGGTGGTATGGCTGTTTTGAAGTGGGAGAGGAATTTTGCTTGTAGATGACTCCACTTTGTTTATGAAATAGCTCTTTGAGCACATCTACTAGAATCATGTTACATGTTTTGGCATGTAAAGCACTGTGCCCAAATTTAAGGCACAGTGGGAGGCTGGAGTCATTGTATCTACTCTTGCAGAGTAGTTACACTGGATTTTGCTTTCTTGTTTTCAAAGTTTGCTACTGGTGACTTTTTAAAGTCTTTAACATCGGAAAGGCTAGGCATGGTGGCTCATGCCTGTAATCCCCAGCACTTTGGGAGGCCGACATGGGAGGATCGCTTGAGCCCAGGAAATTGAGGCCAGCTCGGGCAACATAGTGAGACCTCATCTCTACAAAAAACAAAAATAAGTTAGCCAGGCGTGGTGGTGTGCACCTGTAATCCCAGCTATATGGGAGACTGAGGCAGAAGGATCACAGCCCAGAAGGTCCAGGCAGCAGTGAGCCAAGACTGAGCCACTGCATTCCAGCCTGGGCAACAGAGTGAGATCCTGTCTCAAACAAAACAAAACAAAAACTTACAGTAGAATATGTTTTCAGGTTGATTTCCTTGCATACTTTTTTTAGAGCAGGACCAAGAGGAAACAATGTTATGTTGTGAGGTTTTGACTATGCCTCCTTTTATTTTTCCTTAATTTTTCTTAGTAAACAAAAAGGGGTTGGGGTAGACAGGATGGTGAGCACATGCATTTCCATGTAGTATTGGGTTGGCTTGTTTTTAGAAGTTGATGGAAAGTAACAGTTGTGAATTCTGAAACAAAATTAAATCTTCTGTAATGTGACTGCGCTTTTTATTTTTAATTTAACCCGTTGGCATTCGGATGTCCCCTCTGAGGTGATATCGTAAATCTGGCAAATCACTCTGAAGTCCCTTTCAGGGTACATAAAGAGATTGCTGGTGATTACACAGGACAAACTTATGCCAGCGTGGATTTTTTTTAAATATATGTTTCTTTGAGAATTTTTGTTGAAATTGCATGAAAAAGTAAATAAAGAGATGGTATATATACTGAGATAAGTTTTTAAAAAATCAGCTGGCATTACGTAGAATGTGTGAAGTGCTTTCACGGTGGCACACAGACTGGACAATACATTTCATATTATTACTGTGGAGTAAGAAAATGAGACTGCATTGTCTGCTATAATAGAAAAGCACCAGGCGGAAGACATCAAAAAAAATCACTATTGCACAACTTGTATCTGTCAATGAACCTGCAATTCATGTCGGTGACTGTTTCACACATTACCACACACTGGGGAAATATAAGATACAAAATTGTGGGTTTTTTTGTCATAAGCAAGTTCCTCGATGTCCAAAATTCCATTAGAAGCCAAATATCATTACAATAAAACAATTAGTTCCAATACTATAATATTTACAATGAAGCGATTAATATTTCACTTTTTCATTAAAAAGTGCAGTTGATGTCAGTAGTGGGACGCTGCCAGGGAAGTGGGGGGACATATGACATCAATAAGGGTGCCAAACTTTACCTGTAAAATTACCACTTATGTACCTAATCCTGAATTGTACCCCACAGCTTTAAAATTTAAAATTTTAAAAAAAGAAAAAAGTATGGTTGAATTGTCAATAGATGATCTGTAAGATGTCTCCCAGTGCAGAGGATTGATAGTGTGGGATAATGGGTACAAGTGTTTGAAATAAGTGGTTTAAAAGATCGTCACCATTCTAAAATAGGTTTTTTAAGGCCAGGCGTGGTGACTTACACCAATTACCTTATCACTTTTGGAGGTGGAGGTGGGAAGATCACTTGAACCTAGGAGTTCAAGACCAGCCTGGGCAACATAGTGAGACCTTGTCTCTACAAAAAATAAAAAAAAAAAAATAGCTGGGTGTGTTAGTGCACACCTGTAGTCGTAGCTATTCAGGAGACTGATGCAGGAGGATCACTAGAGCTCAGGAGTTAGAGGCTGCGGTGAACTGTGATCATGAGACTTCACTCCAGCTTGGGTGACCCTGTCTCAAAAAAAAAAAAAAGGGAAAAAAATCTATTTGGGTTAAATTAAAAAGAATAATCATTCAGAGTTTCTTAGTTTGATTTGAGTTGCCATGTAGGTTACTTTTAAGATATTTTGTGTAACTAAGTTTTGCTAGTAAGGTTCTACAATTCTGTTTCCAAAGTAGATAAGCAATATTTCATATGATATCATATTATCATGATTTGATTTTCTTTTTAAGTAAAACTGTTTTCTGTGTAAGAATTTTTAATGTCTTAGGATGTGCCAGCAAAATGCATAAAAAATTTAGCATGTGCCAGCAACATTTTGGGTTTGGAGGTAAAGTACTAAATGTCTGGTAGTTAATAAAGTTTTCCTTAGTGATTAATACCACAATAAATCTCCACTTACACTGTTGAGGAGTTAGTAATTTTAAATTTAAGAACGCTGCCTGGGCAACCCTTTCAGGTCCCTTACTGCTGTAGGAGCTTTTGTGTCCTCTCAATAAATTCTACTTTCTCACCAAAAAAAAAAAAGTACCTTCAAACGTTAATGCAAATTAAAATTTTTTTTATTTTAGTGGAATCAACTATGAAATTGTAATCATAGATGATGGCAGCCCAGATGGAACAAGGGATGTTGCAGAACAGTTGGAGAAGATCTACGGGTCAGACAAAATTGTAAGTGATGTGAACGTTCTTCTGTCAGACTGTTTAGAAACTGAAAAGACCAAGAGCAACATAGACACTCCAGATTAAATGCATTTTCATTGTGCTTAGAATTTTATGTATTGTTGGTATGTTGGGTTAGATCAAAAGATGAACCTTTGGATGCACTATGGTTATGAGTAATTGTGCAGATAAATTTTCTTGAGGGGCAAAATGAAAGCACAATATTGAATGGACAAGGAATCTCATAGAATTGGCTTGCAGTTAGTAGTGTATGTCTTAATTATTTTGCTTTCTGTAGATATTCTCATACCTGCAATTAAGAGCTTGTTGGTGGAAAAGGTGCCTGCTTTAATGTGAAACATGAATGACTTTCGTAGTACTTGACATTTTTATTTTTATCTGTAGAATAGTCTGTGGGAGTGGATTGACTTTCTGAGTTCTAAGCTTTTTATTTTCCCATTATACTTGAAACCTGTTATTCTTCTGTAAGAACTGCTTGGGCAGATGTAAAGTTTATTTGATAATGGCTTCGCAAATTTTACTTTTGATCACTGGTTTGGATTTATAAGCGTTTAAGTACACTTGTGACCTCTACTTTTGTAATTTATGTTTGCAAATTATTGCAGACCAGAGTTTCTCATTCTTGGCACCACTGACATTTCAGACAGAATAATTCTGCCTATGGGACTGTCCTGTGCATTGTATGATGCTCAGCACTATTCTTGAACTCTGTCCACTAGATGCCAGTAGCAGTCTCTTCCCCAGTTGACAGCCAGAAATGTCTGGATATTGTTGAATGTCCCCTTCAGGACAAAATTGTCCCTTCCCCCCAATAGACAACTGTTGGTATAGAGAAATTTTAAAATCTCTTAGGAAACCTTTATTGATATTTGTATTTCATGAAATAGTCATTAATCATCATTTAAAAAATCATCATTGAGTCCAAATATTTATTAATCTCAGTAATGGGTATAATTTCTACAATTCATGTTTCCCTAGAGGTGAATGTTAGTTGTGGGAGGTCTTGCTTGGTGGGAAGAGTTTCAGGGAATTGGGTTCCTTGTGTACATGGTAAACCCTGTACTATGGGTTCTTTCATTCTGTCTCCCAGACGAGTAACTCAGAGGTCTGTCCCACCTCAGTCTTCTCTGAACATCTCCTGCTGTGTAGGAATACAGAAGACCTCTGTAGGTGAGGAGACTGGGGCAAGAGGGTAGATCGTTTTCCAAGGTTACACAAGCCAGAACCATAGAAAAATTAGGGGCGCTTATTTGGAGCTATTAACAGTGCTTGCAGGGCAGAGGGAGGACTTCAGCCCCTGTACACTGAATTCCTCTATATCATGTTTGGGTTTTTTTTGTTGTTTTTTTTTTGAGTTGGAGTCTCACTCTGGTGCCCAGCCTCGACCTGCTGGGCTCCGGCGATCCTTCTGCCTCAGCCTTCCAAGTAGCTGGAATTACAGGTGCGCGCTGCCATGCCCGGCTACTTTTTTGATTTATTGTAGAGATGAGGTCTCGCCAAGTTGCCCAGGCGGATCTCGAACCCGCGGGCTCAGGCAATCCACTCACCTCGGCCTTCCAAGGCGCGGGATTACAGGCTGAGCCACCGAGCCCGGCTTCATGAGATCCCAACATAGGATCAAGTAAAGTTTTCTATATTTTGTCATTATTTTCTTCCAGATTTATTGAGGTATACTTGACATATGTCTTTAACATGTACGATGTAATGATTTGATGTACATATGCATTGTGAAATGATTATCACAAGTAATTAGTCTGTTCATCACCTTACTAACGACTCCTTTGTGTGCATGTGGGTGAGGGGATGTGTGTGTGGTGAAGACACTTAAGTTCTGTTTTTTTTGCATATTTAAAGTATACAATGTGGTAGAGCTAATAATGCCAATTATTAGCTATAGTCACCATACTGTATAGAGGATCGTCAGAACTTATTCATCATATATTTTGTTGTTGTTTTATAGTTTACTATTTTTAAAAAACTATTCTGATAATGTAATACATATTCATTCTTTTTAAAACATGAAACATAAAGATTGAGAGATTTAACTTCTTATAGACATTAAACTTCTATCTATCCCCAAGTACCAAAATATTATTTCTAACAAGAAGGCCAGTACCCAAATTCCAGATAATTCATAAAACAAGATCTACAATTTGCCAGTAAACATGAAAAAAAAAAACTGGGCCTCACTGATGAGTGAAGAATTGTAATATAGGAGAGTATAATTAGTCTTCGTAGCTGAAGATTTAGTTTTGTTTTCTTCTTTCTTTTTCTCCCAGTGTTTTTGAGAAATAGTAGAACAGGTCCACTCAAATACTGTTGATCCTGGTATAAATTGATAGGGTTTTTCTGAAGTATCATCTGGCAGTAATATCATGACCCTGAAAAATATTTATACCTTTGGTGTAGTAAATATAAAGCAGTTTATAGAACTGCATATGTAGTATAGACTCCATTCTGTTTTAAAGTATAGTCACGTAACTTTGGAATATTTTTCTACTAATTAAATTTTTTTTAAATTTTCTACAATAAACCTTTTTTTTAAGTAAATTTTTTTGGGGGGAGTCTAATCATAGTATCACATGAAGTATTCTATGAGCAGTTGTGTTCCACATACTTCAGGGCATATGTGTCCAGCATTCCTGCGTGAATGTGAATCCTCTGCTTGGTCCTCAGGACAGCGCTGGAAGGTGGGCTCTATTATGCACATTGTGCATATTGTTGTGCCCAGAATCACAGAACAGCATGTGAGCAGTGTGGCCAGGATTCAAACCAAGGCATTGTGGCTCTAGTCCATATTCCTGTCTGCAGTGTTGTCCTGCCTGGCATAGAAAAGGGACTTCAGATAGAAGCGAGGGGGCAAAAAATGGTCAGGGGAGGGTGGGGAGGTGGAATTATGGGTCTGAAAGTAAAGGGCACTAAATAGAAACAAATTGTACTTACAATGTAGGACATAAACAAGTGCATTCTTGTAAATGTTACTAGTTAAACTGAAGTTGTCTCTGTTGAACATTTCCTAAATCTGCATCCAGTCCCTTCCCTAGGAGAGACCTGGGTCAACAGTTTGGTGTGTTTTTATGCATATATGTGCATATGTGTACATCTGCAGAACTAGGTAATGTGGGGTGGTTTTTTTGTTTGTTTTTGAACATAAATGCCTTCTTCCTGTATCATCATTACTTTAATTATATCTTAATTATATCTTGGAGATCTGTGTGACCAGATTACCTTTTTTCTTTTAACTGCTCCATAGTACTTTGATCATATGCAATACTGTTTAGTACTTTATATATAAACCTTCAAGCATCTAGAAATCAATAGTGTCCCTCAGCCAACGTTTAGTTTCTGTAGTTTGCTGCCTGTAGTCAGAAAATAGGTAAGCCTAGTAGTACAAGAAAGTGTTTTGAGTGAAAGAGACAACATTCACATAAATTTTATTACAGTATATTATAATTGTTCTGTTATAATATTAACTAGTGTCAATCTCTTACAATGCCTAATTTATAAATTAAACTTTGTCATAGGTATGTTTGTATAGGAAAAAATGTAGTGTCTATAAGGCCTGCTACTATCTGAGGTTTCAGGTATCCACTGGGGGTCTTGGAAGTATCCCCTGCAGAAAAGGAGAGGTGACTATAACAAAGTTGCCTTTAAAAAAGAAAGATTTTTCCAACTGAAGTAGGGTTATAAAAAAAATCTTGGGGTGAACTCTAAAAGATTTTCTTTTTCAGGGCACTAGATGAATTCATTCTTTTGTCAGTAACTATCACAAAATCAAATCAAATCTAGCTAGATCTGACATATCTGGTTTTGTTCAGTGACTTATAATTATCTGTCTTTGTTCAAGATGTAGTTTTGCCGTAAATGTAACTTGTGACTGAAAAACTTTAAAATGTAGGGTAAGTGGAGTAAAAGTGTAGAGGGTTTTTTTAAGCAATTAAAGTTAAATTCTTATCAGTTTTTAAAAGCTTGATAAAAAAAGATTTTTTTGGTAAGTCTCATGGTAATCACAAAGGAAAAACCTAGAGTAAATACACAGAAGATAGTCAGCAAGGGCCAAAGCATACCACAGAGAAGATCTCGTACATCACAGAGGAGGATAGCAGGAGAGAGTGAAAAGAGCGGAAGAACTGCAGAACAGCTAGCCAAGAGTCAGCAGAGTGGCAGCGAGAAATTCTTACCTAGCTGTAAGTACCTTGAATACATATATGCTGCCACCTAAATGCTACCTACAAGAGACATTATCTGTGAGGACACACAGACTGAAAGTGGAGCAGTGGAAATAGTCCACACAAGTAAAACCTACAGCAGACTGCATGTAGTTAAAGAAAATTTTTTATCCTGCTTGAATTGAACTGATAATGCTTTGTTGACAGATTTGCAACCTGAGGCAGCCTGCTTACACACTGGTAAATGCAGAAAGGGACAGGATATGCTCACTGGTGTGTCAGCCTGAGCCCTGCACCTCAGAAACAGGACAGAACCAGAATCTTGGCTGTCGACTTTGTAAGTGTTCAGCCAAAAGAAAAAGGATAAACAAGAAGGACAGGGTCCACGCATGAAGTGGAAGTTTAGAAAGGCTAAGTAAGGAAAAGAGTAAGAATGTGACCTTTTTGCTCGGAATACAGTAGTCATTGGGTCAGCAGAGGATGCAGTGAGGCCATCTAGCTGCAAAGTCAAGGTAAGCTGATATAGGAAGAGTGGTAGCAGTGTTCACAGTCAAAGAATTGAGAAAACACACATGTATCTGAGGAAGGTACCGATCAAGTTCAATCGCATGCCTTTCTAGGAAGGGCTCAGTAGTATTGTTTAAGATGTTAAGTCAAGTCATAGATGTAAAGATATTGCTTAAAATATGGTAGGGCACCAAAAAATTTTTTTAATGTTTTTTGTAGGATTGGGGTGAAAGAATGTTGTTCTTCCTCACCAGCTGTGTTAAGCTATTTGGTTTGTACTAAATGCTTTTTTAAAAGTTTCACAAAAAAAAAATATTAAGCATACACTGCTTTAAGACTATATTTCTAATAAAATGAGTATATACTTATATGAATAAAATAAAATTTAAAATAGACTTTTGTTGATTTGTGTAAAATGTTTTTTCTTTATCCTGCAGCTTCTAAGACCACGAGAGAAGAAATTAGGACTAGGTAAGGAGACCCTCTCATCCCTCATACCTGCTCCTTCCCTGGTAAGATTATCCAGTGTGTGTTTTCCCAGTTTGGAAAAGAGCCAAAATCCAGTAACCTCCTGTGTTGGTTTCTAATGATTTTTATTGCCGTTTAAATGGTTTAACTTGGGTCATCTGTAAAAATCAGGGCCCACTTGAGAAAATAGAAACCAGTGTAAGTCTTTCAGTATAGGGAATTTAATACAGAGAATCTGGTTTCATAGGTGAAGGAATTGTGAGAAACCAGATGGAACAGTGAGGCTACAAAAGATTAGTAACAGCTGGAGGTCACCAGTACCCCTAGGGACGGAGCAGGGGTGAGGGATGAGGTTTTCAGAGCCCAAGAACCCAGGCTGCTCAGAGGGAACTAGAATGAAGGGGGTGAGGACTACATGGAAGATCGCACTGGAAGGAGACTTTTCCCTTTTTCCTCCCCAGATCTTCCACCTGTACCTTCCAAAGCTGTCTGGAAGCCAGCTGACAAGAGAACTTGGGAAATATATTTTCCTACAGTACATCACAGCATAGAGAAAGTCCAAAGAAGGAATCTGAGAGCACTCATACCGGTTCAGCAAACCACATTAGCCTTAAACCTTTGAACATTCTTTAAGATACAAGTTTAGCTGGGCACAGTGGCTCAAACCAGTAATCCCAGCACTTTGGGAGACCAAGGCAAGGCTCAGGGATTTAAGACTAGCCTGGGCTACTTGGTGAGACCTCATCTCTTCAATAGATCAAAAAAGAACCGGGCGCAGTAGTGCATGCCTGTAATTCTAGCTACTTGGAAGGCTGAGGTGGAAGGATTACCTGAACCCAGCAGGTAGAGGCTACAGTGGCCATGAGTGTGCACTCCAGCCTTGGGGACCAAATGAGACTCCAACTAAAAAAAATACAAGTTTAAAAAGTTATCCTTTATTTTTAAAAAAGAAAGACTTTCCAGCTTTTAAACATGGCAGTATAGAAAAACTCAGATAAGTTCAGTAGTTCTGAAACGAAACTCTGCCTTTATTTCTGCTGTTTGTCACAGTGCTACTGTTGAGAATTGGTATACATTGATTGAAAAATTTGGAGAGCATAGAGAAAACACACTTTCCGAGGGCCATCAATTCTCTGGCATCATCAAATGTTCTGAATATCTTAATCTAGAAGGTTCTTTGGGACTGAAATAATCTGTAAATTGCCATGAAAGCAGCCAAGAATTACTGGCCAGTGATATGTCCCAAAACTGTAGATAGTCACTTCGTAACAAAAGAAGTTAGAAGAACTCAGCCTTGCTAGAGTAAGGTTCTTGTGATGAGTTTAGGGCAGAGGATGCAGGAATCCAAGTCCTGCTCCTGACCAGTTACCCCAACCTGCTAGGTTCTGAGGGAGTTTTAGGTATAAGGTGGCTAAGTAATTACCCGCTGTACCTTTGACCCCAAATACCAGAACAGCAGTCTAGGGTACCAGGCTTACAGTGTAGAAGATACTCAGTGGATAGCTTTTGTGGAAATGAGCTTAGAATGTTGGGAAGAGCAGAAGCAGGGGAGCCTTCATAGGTAATGATCCAAGCATCAGAAAGTTGTTCCTTAAACTAGAGTGAAGATGGAGATGAAAGAAGGGAATTGAGAGATGTTTTGGATCAATACAACTTCATTATAGTTTTAAAAAATCATTGTTAGGCCCAGTGCAGTGGCTCACGCTGATAATCCCAGCACTTTGGGAGGTGGAGATGAGAGGACTGCCTGAGCTCAGGGGTTTGAGACCAGCCTGGGCAACTTGGTGAGACCTCATCTCTACAATAAATCAGGAGATTAACCAGGTGTGGTGGTGTGCACCTATGGTTCCAGCTATTTGGAAGGCTGAGGCGGAAGGATCACCTGAGCCCAGCAGGTCGAGGCTGTGATGGCCGTGAGCTTGCCACTGCACTCCGGCCTGGGCGACAGAGTGAGACTCTGACTTTAAAAAAAAAAAAAATCATTGGTAAAGACAGGAAATCAAGGATGATCCCTAGACCTGTGGATGGAATGATTGGATAGTTGGTGTCAATTAGAGGGGTAGGAAATTGGGAGATGATTTTGCAGTGTTATGCTTGGTTTCTGAAATAGCCATGTACAGCCATCAAGTATGAAGTGATACGTAAATCTGGAGCTCCGAGAGGTCTTGCCTCTTCAGTGTCTTAGGTAGACTCTAAGGAAGCACCAATATAATGACAGATTTTTAAATCGTGGCAGTGTGTTAGTTTAGATACAGTCTAAGACTGTTAGGCCTTTTCTTGGCTAAACTGAAATACAGTGAGGATTTTTTATATTAAATTGACATTTGAATAGGGACAGGTGGCCAGCAACCTTCTTGATTATATATATGAACTGTCCGCTTAAGGTGAGAAGTTACCAACTTATTAGTGTCACTTTTAGAAGACTAATGTTTGCTTTCGAGATGCTAAACCATTTTCTCCCTGCTCACATGTGTACTTCAGCATTTTTGGTGATTTTCTTGAATGGATGTAAATGATGTCATTTTTAGGGACTGCATATATTCATGGAATGCAGCATGCCACAGGGAACTACATAATCATCATGGATGCAGACCTCTCACATCATGTAAGTGGGATGCTTCTTTACTAGCTATTTTGGGTCGTCTCAACCTATTTTACTGACTTATTGTTTGTTCTTTCTGAATTTCAGCCAAAATTTATTCCTGAATTCATTAGGTAGGTACTATTTCCAATATTTGAAAGAAATATGATTAAAATTATTTGTCTTATATTGGTTTTGGACTTATTTTGATCAGTTAAAAATACACATACCCCCACTTTGAGAGGCCAAGGTGGGAGAATCACTTGAACCCAGGAGTTTGAGACCAGTCTGGGCAACATAGCAAGACTTCATCTCTAGAAGAAATAAAAAAATTAGCTGGATGTGGTGGTGCATGCCTGTAGTCCCAGCTACTTGAGAGACTGAGGCAGAAGGATCCCCTGAGGTCCAGGCTGTGGTGAGACATGATTGTGCCACTGCACTCTAGCCTGCGTGACAGAGTGAGACCTGACTCAAAAAACAACTAACAAAAAATGCCCAAACTATTAAGTTTTCTATCAAAAATGCATCCAGCATATAGATTTGATAGTAAATGATATACTTTAGAAGCCCTGAGGAACAAACCAACAGGTAAGTCTAAGTGTGTTCGGATCATAGAAAAAGATGGAAGGTTACTTCCCTGTTAAATGGAGTTAAGCCTTGAATCGTGAGTGTAAAATAATATGGTTTATTCCAGGAATACCAGAATGGTTCATCATCAGTAATCTATCCCTATAATTTCTTTGTCATGTTTAACAAGGGGAGTGTGATTAAGTCTGTAGATACTGAAGGGTATTTTACTTGCTGCCCTTTTTTCATAAAAGTTTTAAAGTAGAAATGGAAGGAAATCACTTAGGTATAATAAAGATAACCCAGTCCTAATACAAGCATTACACCAAACAGTGTAATGCTGAATCATTCCAGTAAATTAAGTTAAGCATGCCAGCTACCATTAAACATATGGAAACTTTAAGTAATGCAGTATGACAAGAATTTAGTTAGATATTGGCAAAGGATACAAAAGTATACTTATTTACAGGTGATACAATTCTGTTCTTAGACAACCCAAGAGATAGGAAACCTCAGCGAATAAGAATTTTGAAGCTGTTCTGAATGTAAGCTAAATGAGCAGAAAAAGAGTCAGATGGTGTTCCCTCCCTGTTCAGAGCACTCAGGGAGTTCCCACCAACACCTGAGGCGAGATCCAGACTCCTCACCTGCCCCTCAGCCCCTGTATGGCCCGGCCCCTGCCTCCCTCTCTAGCCTTGTCTGCCCCTCCCTTGCTCACCATCCACCCGTCTGCCTCATTCGTTTCTGAGCTCACTTGGAGCTCTGTCTCTCTGCCTGAAGTGCTCTTTCCCTGCTCCATGATGGCCTGCTACTGTCCTCCAATCTCTGTATAGAGTCGCCTAAGACCTTCTCTGCTTGTGGCTCCAATGCATACATGCCTCTTTTTGACCTGATAAGGAAACGGACCCAGGGGAGCAGATAATGGGTGAAAAGATACAAACTGGCCATATGTAGAAGAAACCCAAGTAGCTAGCATGCATAAAAGGCGTTCACCTTGAGATGTAGTGTGTGAAATGCAGATTAAGACAACTGTTACTATTCTATTGCCTATTTGTCAAAATTAAGAACTTAGAGCAGTAATATCCAATATCAATAAGATGGTTAAAAAATGGACACACTCAAATGTTGCTGAAGGAAATGTAAGTTGCTATAGCCGTTTTGGGAAAATATCTATTAGAATTAAAAATACTCATAAGCTTTTTTTGGCAATTTCAGTATATTCCATTTTGGGGTGTCTAAGCACCAGGATACACATTTATAAGAATGTTTATTGTAGCACTCTTACTATTGTGTTGCTGGGAGTGGAGACAGCCCACCATGGGAGCAACCACAGAGGTGAATGAGTTGAATATTCTGTGGAATATATGCAGCTATTAAAAATAGTGGGAAAGATCTCTATTGACCTGTAGGGATGTCCATGATTCCATAATACGTCCTTTTTTTTTCCTTCTAATAGAGACGGGGTCTCACTATGTTGCCCAGACTGGCCTTAAACTCTTGGGTTTAAGGAATTCTCCCACCTTGGCCTTCCATGTACTGTTAACTGACAAAAAGCAAGTCATAAAACGTCCTTTTTTGGATTCCAATTTTATGAACGCAACCAAAAACCCTGGGGGTATGTGTCTTGAAGTTATCTTTCTGTGAGAGAAGAGAAAGGTCTGGAGGGACACTAGCTGTTTTAGCATTTTTTGCTTCAGGGCAAGCAAGAACAGAATGGAAAGGGGGATGGGGAAAATTTATATTTTTATTAATAAGACATGTTAGGATGGTTACATGTGATGTCAGCAAATATTACTATTTTGTAGTTTGAAAAATAAAAACAGAAAACTGTACTTAGAAAGGTGTTTTAATAGATAGTCCATCTATTCTTTAGGCATTATGTTTTTCCTTTCTCTTAAAAGTTCTGTTTATGTAACTAGTGAAAATAATTTGAAAGCTCAATGTCTTTTTCTAATTGACAGCTAATTTATTTTTTCTACAGGAAACAAAAGGAAGGTAATTTTGATATTGTCTCTGGAACTCGCTACAAAGGAAATGGAGGTGTATATGGCTGGGATTTAAAAAGAAAAATAATCAGGTATATACATGTGCTACAATTTCTCTATTAGTGTAACTGCTGGAAATATGCTTATAACAGTATTTGCATTACATTACTGTGCTGCCATGGGTTTTTGGGGATCAGATTATAACTTCCAATAAACATTTCCAAATAGCTTCTTGCTTGTAGTTTTTCCTATGATTGTGGTGTAGATGTTTTTCACTAGGGAAAAGTCAGGCATAACCCTTTGGTAAAAATTACCATGCTGGACCTTCAGTTTTAATTTATGTAAACTATATTTTGGGACTCAATAAAGTAGGACTTTTCCCCATATTTATAATCTTATCGTTTTAAGTAAAGAAGACATTTCAACTTTTATTAGGCAGCATAAAGTAGTGGGACTTAAGAATCAGACAGATTTGAGTTCAGATCCTGTTTGTGTCATTTAATTGACTATGTACTGTATTTCACCTGTTCTAAGCTTCACTTTCCTCATCCAAGAATGGAAAGATAACCGACTGTTTGATTTTTCTGTGACAGCATAACAAACGTCCTCAAAGCTCAGTGCCTTAAAGTAACCATTGTTTCTCTCAGTCCTGTGGATTGGCCCTCTGCTGGCTTCACTTAGATCTGTTCATGCAGCTCCCTCACCTTGAGGGTCAGCTGCGCCATCAGGTCCAAGCAGGCATCTTTCATAGGCCTAACAGTTGTGCTGTTTGTTGGGTGGGCATATGAGTTCCCCTGTAAATGGCATTTCTTCTTCAGAAGCCTACACTAGCTTCATTGCATGGTATCAGAGGGCAACCCCCAAGATTACAAAGGCAGAAGCTGCAAGGGCTATTGAATCCTGGGCTCTGGGGTTTACTCATTATCAATTTTTTGGTCAAAGTTCCTATAATCAAGATGGTGGGGGGAAAAAAGAGTCCATCTGTTGATGGGAAGACTGACAATTTTTTATCATATTTAATCTACCTCACCCACTTTTCAGGGTCATTAGAAAGAGGAAATGTATTCCTAGCTGTAAAGGATATATATATAAAGGATAATAATGTGACTTTAGTTTTGTCTGTTTTGTTTTTGAGTCAGGGTCTCACTTTATCACCCAGGCTGGAGTGCAGTGGCATGATTAAGGCTCACTACAGAGTCAAGACCTCTTGGACTCAGACAATCCTACCTCAAACTCCCGAGGAGCTGAAACTACAGGAGCACACCACCATGTCCAGCTAATTTTTTTATTTTTTATTTTTGTAGAGACGAGGTCTTGCTATGTTGCCCAGGCTGGTCTCGAACTCTTGGACTCAAGCAGTCCTCTCACTTAGGCCTCCCACAATGGTGGGATTACAGGAGTGAGCCACTGCAACCAACCAATAATATGACTTTAGAAATATTAATACTAATATTGTTTTTTATCACCCACTTTATTATTGAAGATCCCATTAAGTTCATCTCAATTCTGCACTTTAACTGTGAAACCTCAAGTCATTTAAAATATTTAAGATCATTTTTATGCAGACTGACACATTAGCTGGGTGAACAGTTGCTCTCTCTGTGCTTATTAAAATCTGAAAAGTCCTTTCCAAGTCCTTGATCTCTTTTGCTGTTCTTTATTTTATTTTATTTTATTTTTCTCACTCTGTCGCCCAGACTGGAGTGCAGTGGCCGCTCCCAGTCACCGCAGCCTCGACCTGCTGGGCTCCGGCGATCCTTCTGCCTCAGCCTTCCAAGTAGTCGGAATTACAGGCATGCGCGACCATGCCCAGCTGATTTTTTGATTTATTGTAGAGATGAGGTCTCGCTGCCCAGGCAGGTCTCAAACCCGCGGGCTCAGGCAGTCCATTCACCTCAGCCTCCCAAAGGCGCGGGATTCCAGGCTGAGCCACCGAGCCCGGCTCTTTTGCTGTTCTTTAGATGTTCATATTTCTGGCCAGGTGTGGTGGCTCATGCTTATAACCCCAGCACTTTGAGAGACTGAGGCAGGAGGATTGCTTGAGCTCAGGAGTTTGAGATCAGCCTGGGCAACACAGCAAGACCTCAACTCTACAAAAATAATTTAAAAAATAATTAGCCAGGCATTGTGACATGCACCTGAGGTCTTACCTGCTCAGGAGACTGAGGCTTTGGTGAGCATGGTCTTGCCACTGCATTCCAACCTGAGCAACAGAATGAAAACCAGACTCAAAAAGAAAAAAAAGATATTTATAATTCTAAATAATGACTGTTGGTAAATATCAGTTTCATTATCTGTTTTCATTCTTACCTAAAGTTTGGAAAGATTTTTGTAGGTCTTTTCTAAATTTTACTGTCAAAGAATAAAAATCACTATTCTTCTTTGAAAAATGAGTATCAGATCTTTCCTTGACTAAAAATTTCTTTGTTCTAGAGAAATAACATTTTTGTGAAGTTAGTCTTGCATTTATGAAATCACTGTAGCATTTATAGCACTCTGCTCTTTGATGTTTCTCTTGTTTATGAATTGTATCTTATAAAGAAAATTTGATTGTTTTGACAGCCGTGGGGCCAATTTTATAACTCAGATTTTGCTGAGACCAGGGGCATCTGATTTAACAGGAAGTTTCAGGTATAGTGAAAATTTCCACTATTTATGACTTCTTGCCTAAATTTCTTGCATAACAGTGGCTGTTTTAAAGAAATCCTATTCATTTCTACCTTATTTTTATTCTGGAATGCTAAACAGGCACATTGAAATTACTTAGAAGCTGCTAATGGATTTAAACATCTTAAGGAGAAATGTACTTTTGCTTTGTAAGTTGCAGGCAGGCTGTAGGTTAGTATGCTTGTTGACATCAGTATTGAGGCTCAGCTTCTCATCTGGAACATTGTCGTTACTGATCATCTCCAACAACAGCACCTATTGCAGTGATTTTCTGCAATTCATATGAATACTTAACAGCGTTGTCTGCAGAAAAGTTTACAATATTAATATTTATATAGACCTTGTTATGCATATGTTTTACAAAAATTTATCTTGTTTGATTTGACCAAAGCTTTGGTTTCCTCAAGTTTTTTACATTTGTTTGTAAGTGCATGGGGAGGGGGTTTAATTTTTTATTTGCTATAGTAGGTGTGAACTGCTTTATGTGACCATGCCAAGCGACAAAAGATTGCCAGATTTTTTTTTTCTGAAACTTTAAAATGCCTGGGGATCTACTATGAGGCATCAAACCCCATGCATTACTTAATCATTTATATTACATGATACTTGCTTTTTTTTTCATTAAGTAATGTTGATTCTCAGGTCCTTAATGCAGGAAAATGTAGGGCCTTTAATGTCAAAATTCACACGCACACAAATTCGGAGCTGGCTGTTGAAGGTCAAATATAGAGAAAAACCTCTCTAGAATTAAAAAGTAAATTGATTAGAAAGCCAAACCTGGTGTATACGAGAGGGACCCCTATAAATACATCTCTCCTTAAGGCAAAAGAATCGTGTGATCTGATTAAAGTCTCTGATTGCTGTGTATCAACAATGCAAAGAATGGTGGCACACAGAATCTCTATAGATTTGACAGGCCACAGGTGGGGTGGTTCTGAAGGCAAACCCAGGGTATAGTTCCATGGGTTGTGGAGACAGAGGCTGTGAAGAAAAACCCAGCAGGGAGCATGAGGGCACCTCATTGCCATCAGAACCGTCTGTGGATTGGTGGAGGGGGTAGGGATGAAGGGTGGCCTGGGGGGTTTTAGATTTCATGTGGTGAGAGCAGTGACTGGCTGTGTTCCATACAAATTATAGAGCTACAGACAGAAGTGAGTCTGTTAATTTCACAAGTTTTTAAATAGTTGAAGTTCATTATCTTAAGAGTAGTGGTTCATTAATTACATTCATTAAAGTTCCACATGTCATTAGACAAAGCTCATTGTCATTAACTGTTAGCTGTATTTTTTTTTTTTTTTTTTTTTTTTTTTGAGTTGTGTGTGTCACTCTTCCTTAGGCTGGAGCACAGTGGCATGATCATGGCTCATCACAGCCTTGACTTCTTGGGCTCAAGCAATCCTGCCTTAGCCTTCCAAGTAGCTGGGACCACAGGCACGTGCCACCACACCCAGCTAATTTTTTGTTTGTTTGTTTTTGTAGAGACGATGTCTCACTATGTTGCCTAGGCTAATCTCAAACTCCTGGGCTCAAGCAATCCTCCTGCCTCAGCCTCCCAAAGTGTCGGGATTACATGTGTGAGCCACTGCACCCAGCCCTGTTAGCCATAATTTAAAGATATTGTGGGGATGGTGGGGAGGCAGGTGGCACTGAAGAGAAATATCTTAGAAAATGGCTTTTAACTAGAATAAAATGACTTTTAAAGTTAGTATAGAATTCGTAACCTAATCCCAATTTTAAATGTAATGCTGCACATTGTCCCATCATTATCATGGTTCTTCCCACCCTATAATCCCAATGTTCCCTTCTCTACTGAACAGCGTTTGATATGTGTCTTTAGTTAATTCTTAGTTTACTGCTTAAATCCCAAAATATAAAACAATGCCTGGAACCCAGTATGTTGCTCAACAACTATTTGTTACTGAATAAACTTTACTACCATTGGATTCTTCCTTCTTCCTGTTTTTTCCAAACTTACTCCTTTGGACTCTTATGGAAGCCAAGGCTGAAGGAGGGCACACACCAACTGCTCTCAGATTCCTCCGGGTTTGGGCTCTTGTCTTATACCCACTTCATAGCTGACAGACAGGGCAGCCTGGGAAAATCACGTGGGCTCCAGGCAAAACCCACGGGCGTTGTAGGTCCAGGTGGCCTTAACATTGAAGAGAACAGAGTTGCACCCAACTGTTTCTCCTAACTTTCTTTTTCCCCCCAAAATAGTAGAAATTGCTGCCTCCCTACCTGCTGAGACTCTGATCTTCTAAAGTTTTTTTAAAACCTCTGTGATTTTGAAAACAGGGAGCTCCCTGCTATTCAGTTACTGAAAAAAGCGATTGGGTTCACCCACAGGACTTCCCAACTCCCTTGTGTTAACTTTGTACTCCCCTGGGTTTAGCCCGCAATCTGTTTAAAGTTAGGCTGCCCCTTTGCTTACTGGAAGTGTCTAACTGTAACCTCAGTTGGTGATAGTTGAATCCTATTAAGATTGTCTCTTGTGATTGCTGTTTTAACTACCTTCCCAAACTCATCCTCGAGGGGTTTAGTTTATCCTAGGGAATGAAGTAAATCTTGAGAAATGGAAATTCATTATAGACATTTTTGGGGAAATATCTGTTAATTGTGAGGTTCTTTCTTAGCATCTAATGTATATTATTGCTTCCTCATCATCTGTCAACTCTGTTTCAATATCTGGAACATACAACTTAAGATTTGGGGGGGGGTTATTTTGTTTTTTTGAATCATAGTCTCACTTTGTCACCTAGGCTGGAGTACAGTGGCATGATCATGGCCACTGCAGCCTTGACCTACTGAGCTCAGGCAATCCCTTCACCTCAGCCTTCCAAGTAGCCAGAATTATAGGCGCGTATTGCCATGCCCAGCTAATTTTTTAGCTTTTTGTAGAGATGAGGTCTCACTGAGTTGCCCAAGCTGGTCGCGAATCCCTGGGCTCAGGCAGTCAAAAGGTAAATTTTAAGGAAGTTTAAAAACTAAAAATAATGGATAGTTCTGTATCAAATGATTCATTTTACTGTACTTGAATAATTTCTGATCATATTGTAGAAAACAATTCTCTACAAGATATACTGACTGTGTCTGTGATTGTGCTACTGCACTCCAATCTGGGTGACAGTGAGACTCTGACTCAAAAAAAAAAATTGAGAATTCATTCAGAATTCTATATTATTTCGCAAATATTTCATAGCCTTTCTTGTTCAGGACTGATGTGGCATAATCATAAATTCTGAGGACTTTTTCTGTGTAACAATGGCCAGTGAAAATGTTAGGCTTTAAAGTACTAGTGAACTTTTTGAAAAGTCAAGCTACATGTAGGCAAATGTATTTATCCAGATGTTTATATATATTCTGATTTCTTACAGGTTATACCGAAAAGAAGTTCTACAGAAATTAATAGAAAAATGTGTTTCTAAAGGCTACGTCTTTCAGATGGAGATGATTGTTCGGGCAAGGCAGCTGAATTACACTATTGGTGAGGTATGCAACTGATGCTAAATATTGTGTCATATTCGTCGTAAAGGAGCAGTAAGGGTTACACTTACTATCACAAGAAGCTTAACTTTTATAACTGCTAAATGGTTGTGGAAGTCTTCTAGTTGCTTAGAATGTCCATGCCCTAAGGAGTAACAATTGGAATCCCTTGCCAGTTACTACATTTGACCTGCCAAAATTTCAAACATTAACAGGCAGCATCCTCTTTTAAATAATGAAAGTTACTGGTACCTTCTCCATCCAGCCCTTTCTTCTGACCAGTCAGCAGTACGGGCTGAGTCTTTTTGCTGTGTTTCCTTTTGCCATAGCCAATATACCTTAAATGAAGGATGAATCCCACGTATCCAGTTCCTGTGAGTAAATGAACAGGACCAGGAATTGGAGAGCAAGAGAGATAGCTGATCTGTAATATTGAGGACTGACTAGTAAGCTCGCAGAGAAGACTCCCCACATTTAACAGCAGAACTCTTACTCAAAGCAAGAAAATAGTCACCCTAGAATGCCACTTCTTTGTGGAAGTTAGAAGAGTTTTAACTTAATGCTAAACTGCAATAGCTAAATTTGACAAACAACTAAAAAAGACAAGTGAAAGGCCATTTTACTTTTGGACTTTACTTTTTCCTTGAAATGCAAACTAAAACTTGAATAAACCAAGATACTCAGGATCAGTGCTTTTTAAACAGCTGTAGATTTGTTTTATGTGGTCTATTTTTAGAAAGTAAAATGTATGTTTAATTTTGAAGACTTGGAGACACACATCGTTGCCTTAAGAGTTCTCTAATTTTGACCTTACTTGAAGGACTTCTGCTGTAAGACTAATCCAGTTTCTGTTGTATTGTTAATGGTTGTATACCTGCTATGCTTTCTAATTTTTTTTCTTGGAGACTGACTTTAATGTGTATTTTTTTTAACTAGGTTCCGATATCATTTGTGGATCGTGTTTATGGTGAATCCAAGTTGGGAGGAAATGAAATAGTCTCTTTCTTGAAAGGATTATTGACTCTTTTTGCTACTACATAAAAGAAGGTTATTCATTTATGCTTTATGTTCATTTCAATTTAAACATAAAAGAAGCCTGGTTACTGATTTTTATAAAATGTACTCTTAGAGTATAAACCATAAGGTAAGGTCGATTTCATGCAAATCTTTTTTTCTGAAGAACGTCTTTTATATTTCAAATTAAATAATTTTAAAGTTACTGGCTTAATGAGCAATGTTCTTAATTTACATTCTGCTGTATTAAGACCTATAAATAAATACATATGGGTTTTTGTATAAAATATTGCTGCTTTCATTAGAGTATGTGAATGCAGAATTTCTTACATGGGGAATAATTTTAAATATTCTTTAAAAAACTGGATTCATAGTGCTTTATACCTGATAGATGTGAGAAGAGGAATGTTAATTATATTCATAAAATATATGAACTGAAAAAGAACACACCTTTGCCCTTTCCTCAAAAATTACTTTAAATTTCTTAAAGCAGATAAAATAATACATTTAGAACAGACTTTAGAGGTGGATTATTTTCAGCTGTTGAATTGATGAAGCATTTTGTCTACCAAAAGAAGTGTATTTAAAATATCTATTGTGAATTGGAAAACAGTCTGGCAACAGTTAATTACATCACTGGGTTTTTTTCCTCTTGAGCAATAACTCTTTTCATTTTTTAGCAGTAGCCTCTATCAGTAAGGAAAAATATTGATGGCATTGAGGCACAAACTTAGCTGCTATAGTAATTTTTAAACATCCTACTGAATTAAATATTTTTTTCTCAAAGCAATTGTTTTTATATTATTTCAAGACCCACCCTCAACAAAGCTTACAACTCTATTATAAACAGCCATCTCTTTCTTCTTTCAGAAAAATGTTCGTCCAGTTAAAATTCAGGTTAAGTTGTACAATAAAGCCAGTGCAAATATTACATTTGCCTACCTTCAAAAAGGATCAATTAATTTCTAACTGTAGCATAGCTTTTGGATCATGCAGTATTTTTAAAAATTGAAATAAGGACATACTTTGAGTAAATAAGCTTAAGATCAAGTTGACTTTCCTTTGCAAATAAAAGGAAGAGGTGTCGCTAAGTCACTTAATAGTGGTATTTAGTGAACAGTATTCCTAATTACTCATTTTCCTGGCTACATTTGACTGCTTAAGAAATTGAAAGTATGCTTTTTAAAATTTGCATTTCTCTGACGGATCCTACTCTAGAAATTAGTCCCAGATTGTAAAGCCTGAGGTGTCATTTCGCACGTGAAAACCTATCCCACGCCTGTCATTGAGACCACAGCACACATTCTAGTAAGTGCTGCCACCATTCCATTTCCCTTATATCCAGAGCTGTTCACCTGGGACCCGCCTTCCTTGGGAAAGTGACTTACCATTAATCACTAGAAAATCCATCAGTATGTGATGCAGTTATTTTTAAGCTAAATTAATAGAAATGTTGTATTCTCCGGTTGTTTGGAGTTTTAGAATCTTTTTAACCTAAACCCCAAATTAAGTTTTCATTGTCAAGTATGTGGAGCAGAAATTAAGTAACCACCTCAGAGAACCCAGTCTAAAGTAGAGATAATATTGCCTTCTCACTAGAGATGTAATGTTTGACTTTTTAAGCTTTTCCGTTCTGCCACTGTCATTATTACAACATTGTCACTATTGGGATTTACAGTAAAGAGAGTGAGCATTGAAGACTCTCTGACCATTTGGAAGTCATTTAGAAAAGAATCTGGACTATTTCGATACGTTTTTGTAGTGAATCTGGTGCTGTGAACACTCTTAACATTAAACATTTACATCTGAATCCAGCATCCTTTTTTGCTTTGTAAATGAGGCCAAGGGTGAAATCCAGATGTTCTTCCTTTGTATTTGTATGATTGCTGCATGAAATCGAAGCCTATCTCAGGAAAACTGAACTTCAGATAAACTGGTCTTTCTGACTAGCTTTTGCCTGTCTTCTGCAACGTGTGTAATTAGGATCTTCATGGTTCGTTCTCGGAATCAGATGCTTTGCCCTCACCCCTTCTTCTACAGCTTTTTTCGGCTATTGAAATACTGGCTTGGCTTGTATAGATATATTTTATCACGGTTGCAGAAACTAATGGACTGCTATATTGGATGAAAGACGGTATATTGGATAAAAGACCGTTTCTTAGCCTTGCAAACTGGAGTCTTAGACATTGAGTTATATGTAACCACAACTTATGCTACTTGTATTTAAGTCAGATTCTGTGGGAATGCTAAGTATGGTTTGAAACTATTTTAACTTGAAATTTAAAGAAACAGCAAAAGATAATGTATTTACAGTTCACATTCTAAGATAACAGGCTTGGTTTCTCCACAATTGGCATATATTACTTTTCCAAAGATTGAACCAATGATAAACTTCGATGCCCTCTACTATCAAAGGTGGGCTCAGAGCTGTTGGAGACAACGTGATGGCTGGGACTGACCTAACTTTATAGAGCAGATTCTGCCTGCGTGTTGTCTTGCTGTCCAGCTTGTGGGGCACTAAAAGCTCCTGTCCCTGGGATAGGGCCCTTGTGGCGGCCCGCTGGCAACGTCGCTTCTCATCCTTAGGTGGCACCAGTTGGGTGGCCTCAAAACACGAGGGAAGCCATCTGTTTTCTCAAGGCCCAAGAGAAGAGTCCCCCAGTGACCTGGAAGAATGTCGAGGCAGGGCAGGGGCCTTCTGTAAGGCCCAGCCCTGTCCTCCTGGCCCGCGTGCCTGGGAAGGGATCCGTGTGTCATCTCAAGTCGGGGTGTGAAGCACGAGGCCCTCAAGCCTCACTTAAGGCAGAAGGCATCAGGGCGCCCAGCCAGGTGTCCTTGCCCCTTCCCGCCGCTGCTCAGCCCGTGAAAGCGCGGGCCTCTGAGCACGTGGAGTCGCCCGGGCTGCCTGCACACCCCTCCCGCCAGATGTAGTCCAGGCCCAGCTGGGCCCGCGCAGGGATCCCCAGCACGGCCACCTGACTGAGTGCTGGGCGTGCTGCGGCCCGCTGCTTCTGCCTCCGCCGCCAGCGCTGCGTCCAGAGGAAGGCGCCCGCTGAGCACACGGGCCCTGGGAGCGCACTGCGGCCATTATCCGCGGCGCCTCCTAGTGGGTCAATGGCAAACCTTGGTTCTCGCGAGAGCTCCCCCTCAGTGGGGATTATATAATTCCCCCAGGTGGGGGTGGTGGTGCTGAGGGCACCCTCCCTCCGGAAAAGTGAGGTGCAGGCGCAGGTGGGAGAGAGTTCTCCCTGGGGGGCATGGGGGTAGGGGTGCTGTCCCCCACTGCCCCCCCCACCTAGCTGGACAATGAGTCCTCTTATGCTAATGAGGCACTTACGTCACTTCCGCTCTTTCTCGGCCGCCATTTTGGCTAGGGCAGGTTCGGGAACTCGGTCCGAGGCGCTTGTATTGTCTGCCGAGGGGAGACGCGGGATCGGCCCCCTCCCCCGCCCGTTGCCGCCG